AGGAGGAAAAACAAGATTCCCGTTTCTATCATGAGCAAGACTGAACGTTGCAGGCAAGATAACGAGTCTTTTAATGCTAAGCTTTGCAATGAGCAATCACCCAAAAAAAAAAAAAAACTCGGTTCAATTGCATATGTTCTGGCTTCAAAGATTCCTACTAACAAACAATGGACATTCCGCCTCTAGCTTGTCAGCATGTCATTTGAACCAGGACAAGTTTCCGTTTCTTGGAGAAAAAGAACCAAAACACACTGTGTCTTGTTCCTCTGGCTATTCTGGGAGGAACAATGCAGCACACCTAAGAAAAATGTGCAGGTACTTGGATTCAAAGCAGAACAGGGGACTCAGAAGGGTGCTTCCAACTCTTAAGTACCTTCTTAAGGAAGTTGCATCTTTCTTTGCATCTCATGGAAGTTTGCAGAATAGCCTTGCAGTCCCAGGAATGAACTATATGCTCAAGTTAAAGAATATTAAAGCATAACCATGTTGTTACTCTCTTTATATGCCTCCTTCATGCGTATGTATCCCTGGAACTACCCAACTACTACACAGCTCCCTTTTTAGGATCCTGTAATCTCTTAATTCAGGATAAAGTCGGGGCGACTGGATGGAACTGAGCGTTTACTAGATGAATACCATTCCAGACGCCACATGAAGTCTGCAGAAGATATTTTTTTCTTTGCGCTTTAGAAAAGAAACGTGTGCCGCTACCTAGAACTGAGCTCTCAACCTTCAAAGTAGGAACTGAACATCTTCACCACTAGGCCATGAGACCGCTCTACCCAACTATATGAGTCTAGAAAACTGTGAGGGTTTTGAAAGAAGAAACCAACATCTGTAACAATTGCAGCCATGTAAACCCCTCCCCCAGCCCAGAATATTTTTCTGGTCCAGATCCCTAGGTTGAGGACATCTGCCAGGTATGATTTAAAAAAAAGTCAAGATGGGGACCATGATGGTAAATAGAATCTTTCCCTCAATATCTCAATATTGACCATACCCTATGGACATCTATGCCTAGCACCCAGTTTAAACGGCTCTGTAAAACAGACTTGGGCAATTTTCCTGCGATCAATGAAAACTTCAGTCAAGCAGCAACCAGATAATAACAGATTCTCCAGTTTGGGGGAAGCACCTAGAACCTGGATTAATAGCTAGCAATCAAAGGAGGCTGCTGCCACCCAAATACAGGATTTAAGATACTATTCATATTAATCACTAGCCTCTTCAGGGCATCAAATTCTGATTGAAACTCAATGGAAAAACAATCCACACAAAAATCCAAAACTGCACAGTTCGGTTCAAGGCACACGGATGGAAGAGCAGGTAAACCTGGCAGCTGCCATTTCTGCGCTTTCTCAGATCATTTGATGAGCCTGGCCTACCTGTGCAATATAAGCACGATACAGGAAGATGTCCCTCTCTATTTCTTTTTCCGGACTGGATGGCTAAAAAGAGAAAAGAAAGATTCTTTTCATAACAGTACACACACATGCACAATAAAGCACTACCCTCACCCCACCACTCTCTAAGTCACAAAACACCTCAGGACCAACATCTTTATCAAGTTAAATATATAAAAAAATCTATTTTTGGGATGCGGTGATTTCCAGATATAACTGCAACTATAACTCAAAGCATCCGCAGCCACTATTCGAGAATAGCAGTGGATGCTGGAATCCATAGTTATAACATTCAAAAATCCATTGTTGACCCACCTCTGGACTATCACAGAACACCACACATTTTTAGTTGTTCCTGTGTAACCACACAGCCCCATTTCAGAGTATTATATAGTCTGTGGTGAGAACCATGCTCCTTAGCCATAGGCTAAGGAAGTTTTTAAGAAGAGACTGGACAGCCATTTGTCTGAAATGGTATAGGGTTTCCTGCCTGAGCAGGGAGTTGGACTAGATGACCTCCAAGGTACCTTCCATCTTTATTATTATTAATAATAAACATGAAAGCAGGAAAAGCCCCCAGGCCAGCTCAGAGGAAACAAGAGGGATAAAAATGAATAATCAGAAATAGGTTTAAATCAGATTTTAGAACTACTCCAAGCTGCTTTGTAAAAAATATGTAGTTCCATACATATTTATGAATATAACAATTACTTTGTTTGCTTTTCTAACACAGGTATAAGAGACAGGTTAACAAACAGGGTAACTGACATATCTTTAAAGATGTGGAGAAATAGATCAATGACTTTTAATATAATTTAAAAGTTACAGATGGATGTTCTCTTACCAAACAACAGTAAAAGTGTTCTCTGATTGATTCATGCCATCAGTGCCAGCCACACAGACCTTTACCAGCATGATCTCTCTCAAAACATCCTTCTCATCTTCCAGTGACTGCACCCATCACTGCTATGATTGAGTCAATCCATCTTATTTCTCTTTCCTTATATTTTTCCCAGCTAGGCCTTTGCATAAGGTGTTCAAAATATGATAATTTGAGCCTGGTCATTTGCACCCCCCTCTTCCAAGTGAGATCTTTGGATGGATTTGTTGTATGATCTGTTTGTTTATACTTTCCTTGGTCTTCTCACGAGTGCTCTCCAACCCCAAAGTTCAAACGTGTCAATAGTCTTTCTATCCTGCATCTTCAAAATCCAACTTTCACTTCCAGTAGACTGTCACGGGCAAAACCATAATCTGTATGATTCTGATCTTTCTGGGTATAGATCAGGGATCTTCAAACTTGGCCCTTTTATGACTTGTGGGCTTCAATTCCCAGAATTCCTCAGCCAGGCACACTGAGAACCCCTGGCATAGACATATCACAGCATCTGAATACCAATAGTCCTCAACTTACCACCATTCATTTAGTGACTGTTTGAAGTTAACAGCACTGAAAAAGTGACTTCTGACTGTTTTTCACACTTACAAACGTTGCAACATCGATGAAAATTCAGACCCTTAGCAACTGGCCTGTATTTATGAGACCTTCTGTCAAGAGACTGGACAGCCATTTGTCTGAAATGGTATAGGGTTTCCTGCCTGAGCAGGGGGTTGGACTAGATGATCTCCAAGGTCCCTTCCAACTTTGTTGTTGTTGTTGTTGTTGTTGTTGTTATTATTATTATTATTATTATTATTATTAGTCAATGGTGAAGCCAGGTTCACTAAACGACCCTTTTAAAGGAATCCAGTGATTTCTTTAACAACTTTGGCAAGAAAGGTCGTAAAACGAGGCAAAATTCACTTAACTACTGTCTTGCTTAGCAACAAGAAATTTTGGCCTCAGTTGTGGTTGTAAGTCAAAATCCATATATTCCAAGTCCTCCATGACTGCTCCATTAAGTCCTTATATTGAAACTTATTCCTTGACTGCAGGACTATTTATTTGATCTTGTTTATATTTAAATCTTAATTTTATTGCCCCCTCCCTCGCGCTGAACTTGAGGCCTTTCACTGAACTACAAGTGACATCGCCTGGTTGAGGATGCTGGGACCTGCAGTCTAACACCGTTAGGGAGCAGGGATCCTCAACCTTGGCCACTTTAAGACTTGTGGACTTCAACTCCCAGAATTCCTCAGCCAGCTTTGCTTTGCTGGCTGAGGAATTCTGGGAATTGAAGTCCACAAGTCTTAAAGTGGCCTGAGGACCCCCTGAGCTAGAGGACGTTCAAGTTCATGTTCGTGCTAGGCAGCGGTTCAACAGGTTGTGCCTTCCTTGATTCATTTTCGGAATCTACCCCGAGATCCCCGCTCAGCCCCGGCCGGCGCCTCACCTTGACTCGCTGCGCCTCGTTGATGGCCGCCTGAAAGGCCCCGATGTAGAAGTTGTTCCTCACGTCGAAAAGCTCGTCAGCCTCGCCTGAACCCGCAGGAGTCGCCATCGCTCGTGCGTCCCTTCAAAGCAGCGGCAAACCCGACACGTCTTCGCCTTCCTTACCCTTCCGCGCAAGGCACTGTGGGAAACGTTGATTGGCTGGCTCCCTTTTGCCCCGCCTGCCACGAGAACGAGAGAGATCGAGACGGACCAATCGGAAGCAGAAGAAAGATGATTGGCGGAAAGCCTCCTGGGAATTGTAGTTAGGTAAGGAGACATATCCGCCACCCGACGCATAGAGATAGAATTTAGAGTGATACTATATAACCGGATTATGGTAATAGCAAGACGAAACCCTATTGAATCTAGTGGGATTTGCTTCTCCGACAACGTTAAGAATAAAATAATTATTCTTCTGCGTGGAGAAAATTCAGAAGGAAGGCATTTTCGTTTTTTCTGTCAGCTTCTGAAGGGACGTTTTCTCATGCTCAAGAGTATCAAAGAGATACTTCAAAAAGATGATCAGGGGGCTGGAGGCTAAAACATATAAGGAACAGTTGCTGGAATTGGGTGCGTCTAGTTTAACGACGAGAAGGATGAGGGGAGACAGGATAGCTGTGTTCCAATATCTCAGGGGCTGCCCCAAAGAAGAGGGAGTCCAGCTATTCTCCAAAGCCCCTGAAGGCAGGACAAGAAGCAATGGGTGGAAACTAATCAAGGAGAGAAGCAACCTAGAACTAAGGAGAAACTTCCTGACAGTTAGAACAATTAATCAGTGGAACAACCTGCCTCCAGAAGCTGTGAATGCTCCAATACCGGAAGATTTTAAGAAGAGACTGGACAGCCATTTGTCTGAAATGGTATAGAGTTTCCTGCCTGAGCAGGGGGTTGGACTAGATGACCTCCAAGGTACCTTTCAATTTTTTATTATTACTAAATTTACAATGTTCCTCGTCTACCGTAGCCCCGAGACTTTTTATAAGTTTTGCACTGGGTTGATAAATCTCCACTAGATTTCTATGGACCTCGATTTTAGACTCAGGGTAGATCTCCCTTCCCTGAAATCTATGCGAAGGCTCTTCCTTGATGCCGGGAATGCCTGGGAATCGTAGTCCAACCGTGCGGCGAGCCCCCAATGGCTTCTGAAAGACGCTGCGGCGCTCGCCAGTGACGTCACAATACCCGCGAGCAGCTGTGCGGTGACGTCACCAGACGCGTCTCTGTCGCGGGGCATCTTGGGATTGCTCTCTCCCTCGCGTTCCTTCCATCCTGCCGGTCTGAAGCGCCGCTGCTCGGTCTCTCGGTCGGAAAATGGCCGGTTTCCGCACTTTAGGCTTGGATCCCTGGCTGGTGTCTCAGGCGGAGCAGCTGGGCTTGTCGAGGCCCACCCCGGTGCAGGAAGCCTGCATCCCTCCGGCGCTGCAAGGTAGGACCCAGAGATAGTACTATAGGGGGTACCTTGCTCAATAGTAGTAACTGTGAGAGGGACCTCGGAGTCCTAATGGACAATCACTTAAATATGAACCAGCCGTGGGCTGTAGCTGCCAAAAAGGCCAATACAATGCTGGGCTGCATTATCAGAGGGATAGAATCAAGATCACGTGAAGTATTAATACCACTTTACAATGCCTTGGTAAGGTCACACTTGGAATACATCCTTAAAGTCATCACGAGTTGTGTGGACTTCGAGGAAGATTTTATATAGGACGGACTTTTTGGAAGACCCAGCGAACCTCAACTATTTTTGTAGCCTTGCCTCCCTGAAGTTCTGCTCCACTCCCAGCAGATCTATGTACTTGAAAGACTAATTATTTTATTATTATAAGGATCTCAAGTTGTTAGATGCATGGAATATAATCCAGAGGATAAATTTGGGACCAGGTTACTTACAAGACCGTTCTCTCCCCCCCCCCCCCGATTGTTTGCACTCATTCCAGCAGAAAAGTAGGCTCTAGGAACTGTCAGCTAAACATGGTGAGACCTGGAAGGAGAGTCTTTTCTGCCATGGCACCTGCCCTTTGGAGCATCATCCCCCCCCCTGAAATTAGATTGGCCCGCTGCCTGTTGGCATTTCATAAGACCTTGAAAACTTGGTTTTGTGCCTGAGCTTGGGACCTTGGATGTGATATACAGGCTGTGCAGATGATTGGTTGAATAATGCTTTGTGTTTTATTTTGTATATTATGTGTCCCATGTATTTTATTGTAAGCCAATCAAAGTCATATAAAAGTAAGATGGGTGGCTATATAAATTGAGTAAATAAATACTTTAAATAAGTTCGTTAGGGTTTAAGGTTGGCCAAGCCTGATTCTTGCTGTTAAAAAAACCCTAATATTGTTACTCTTCCCTAGTGTTTTGCCCAGTCAACATGTAACCATGGCTTTTGGTGGTTCTGATCAACATCTGCTGGCAGTCCCTTTTTTAAGCCCTACCTCTCATTTCTAATACTTCCCAAAAGTACTTTTTTTTCATAACCATGACCTGGATGGTTGAGAATCTCCACAGACTTCTAATACTTCCATTCAGTTCAACCTCAAACTGGTATTTTTCTCTTAAGTCCCAAAGAGCACCACAATTAGCTCTCCTCAATTAATGTTTGGATTTTTTTTCAATATTTTTCCACATATAACCTTCCTTGATTTTTCTCACAGTTCCACATGTTGGCCATAAGGAAAAGAGTGCCTCTGACCACACACAAAATGCACCACACCTTTTGCCTTTATATTGAGCTGTCCTCCTACATCTTGCTCCCATAGGTCGTGACTGCATGGGCTGTGCCAAAACAGGAAGTGGCAAGACAGCTGCCTTTGTGCTCCCCATCTTGCAGAAACTTTCTGAAGATCCTTTTGGCATCTTCTCCTTGGTGTTGACACCAACAAGGTAGGAGAAGATGTAGCTTGGGAAATGACACTTATCCCAAAGAGGTGGATAGGTGAATTCTTGGCGTGATCTGTGCTTAAATGAGTTGCACAAAGCAAAGATTAATTGGGTATATGTCTAGTCTAGTGAAAAGAAGGACTAGGGGTGACATGACAGCAGTGTTCCAATATTTGAGGGGCTGCCACAAGGAGAAAGGGGTCAACCTATTCTCCAAAGCACCTGAAGGCAAGACACAAAGATGGGAACTAATTAAGGAGAGGAGCTACCTAGAACTAAGGAGAAATTTCCTGATAGTTACAACAATCAGTGGGACAAATTACCTCCAGAAGTTGTGGGTGTTCCAACATTGGAGGTTTTTAAGAAGGATTGGACTACTATTTGTCTGAAATGGTATAGGGCAGAGGTAGGCAACCTTGGCTCTTTTATGATTCATGGACTTCAACTTCCAGAATTCCTGAGCCAGCCATGCTGATGGGAAAGGGAGAGGTTTCCATGCTGAGCCATGCTGGCTCAGGAATTCTGGGAGTTCAAGTCCACGAGTCATAAAAGAGCCAAGGTTGCCTACCCCTGGTATAGGGTCTCCTGCCTGAGCAGGGGGTTGGACTAGATGACCTCCAAGGTCCCTTCCAGCTCTGTTATTCTGTTAAGATTTGTGGAAGCAGAGAAGTAAGGCCCAAAGACTCACTAAATGGCCCTGGAAGGCCTGGTAGCCCGGAGAATTATACTAAGAAGGACAAAGCAGGCTTGTGATACATTTCAAAATGACAACAATTAAGATATCACTAGCAATATGATTTGTTTGGAAATGCTTCCTTACTCAGGGACTTTGAAAGTGATCGTGAAAGAGAGATTGGAAACCCTAAATCATGCTGGATCCTCCCTTACCCGCAACAGACTCAAGAAGGAAATCAAAGAGGGGAAGTCCGCTCTCCCTCTGCAAATCGCTTTAATTTTAAGATTGAACAGAGCAAAGGAACGAGTCTAAATAAAATCTCATATTAAAGACATCATGCTTCTTTGCGCCTTTAGATTAAAGAAAAGAATGCTAAGGGGAGAGTAGTCTTCCCAAAGATGCTTTTTTTAAACTGGACTTTCTGAAGAAAGTTTTGAAGAAGCTTCTTGGATGAGAAGCGAAACGTCTTCAAGGAAAAAGTCCATTTGTCTTTTGGGGGTGGGGGAAGCACCTTTGGGACAACCATGACCTGGATGACTCAGAATCTCCATAGTTAGATAGCAGTCTTCCGATGCATGAAGGGATCTCGTGATGAAGGGATATCACAGGGAAAAGGGAATTAGATTAATTCTCCATGGTACCTGAGGATAAGACAAGCTTTATAGTGAAAGGTCCAACTGTGAACTGCAGGAGCTATGAAAAGCAGTGTCACAGGCTGCCTCTGCAAATTGTGTGTGCCCATCCCTGGGAGGTTTTAAGAGAAGATTGAGCAATCATTTATCCAGAATGGAATGAGGATTCCTGCATCAGCCAGAAGGTTTGACTAGAAGACCTTCAAGGTCCCTTCTAATCTAAGGATTCTGTGATTATGGTCCAGCCACACATATACTGTCAGGAGATGCTTCAAAGTTAAATAGGCATCTTGAGTGCTTATATAAGCAGAAAGGTGGGGTATGAATTTAATATTGGTAATTAAAACAATACATATTATTTTAACAGAGCCTTTACTTCTCTCTTTGCCTTCCCTTCTCTGTCAGAGAGCTGGCCTATCAGATTGCCGAGCAGTTCCGGGTCCTTGGGAAGCCTCTGGGTTTAAAGGACTGCATCATTGTCGGGGGAATGGGTACGTCACTTTATTTGGAAGATGGAAATTCACCCCTCCCCTTAAACAAGCTTATCTTTTTTTTTTTTGTAAAATTTTTTTAATCTTTTTTCATTCAATTCAATAGTGCTTTTTCAGCAACGTGTTGTCTTGAGTTTATCATTCACTAATGCAAATTTAATTCCTAATCCTTTATTCTTTTCTCCAGCCATTGATAAATCCCAAGTCTGATAGTATTCTGTTTCTTCTTTTTCTTTCAACCCTTTTCTTTCAAGTCTGTCCATTTCTGCACAATCTAATATTTTTTTTTAATTATTTCTTCCTCTGATAGTAATTCTTCCTTTTTCCGACATTGTGCAGATATGATTCTTGCCGCTGTTATCACATATAAAATCAAATATGTACTTTGTTTATCCATCTTTTCTGGCATAAGACCTAATTTAAAAAAGTTCAGGTTTAAAATCAACATGTTTTCCCAACATCTTTTCTAGCCAAGTATGTATTTTTTTCCAGTACCTCTTTGCTTCAACACATGTCCACCATACATGATAATAAGTACCTGACTCATGTTTACATTTCCAACATCTATCTGACATATTTTGAAACATTTTTGCCAATCTTGCTGGTGGCAAATGCCATCTATAAAACATTTTATAGATATATATTGTGAAATGTTTTACACAAGCTATCTTATGCCCTGTGAAGCTGCAGAAAATATTTATTTGATCACTTCATACAGTGGGATGGGACGCATCGCCCTTTGGACCCTATCTCTTGTGCTAAGATTTTCTTTCTTGATGGACTTTCAGATATGGTCTCTCAAGCCCTGGAGCTGTCTCGGAAGCCCCATGTGGTCATTGCTACTCCTGGCCGCCTGGCTGATCACCTACGGAGTTCCAATACCTTCAGTCTTCGGAACATCAAGTTCTTGGTAAGGCATTTTGGATAGAGCAATGTTTCTCAACCATGGCAGCTTTAAGTTGTGTGGACTTCAGTTCCCAGAATTCCCCAGCCAGCATAGGTCAATTCTACCCATCTTAAAGTTGCCAAACACTAGTTTAATGGAAGGAGCTTCAGCATGGCTGGCTGGGGAATTCTGGGAGTTGAAGTCCACACATCTTAAAGTTGCCAAGGTTGAGAAAAACTGGCATATAACCTTAACTCAGAAAAAGGGAGAAAAAGGCTGGAGAGAAAAAATTGTACTACTATTAGACAAATTGGAGAGCTTCAGTCATAAGTATAGTACTCCTCGAGTTATGACTGTAATGGAGCCTGCCCATTATGGCTGTAGGTCGTAATGGTTGTAAAAGAAATTTGGTTACATAACCAACCTGATTTTATTACCGTTAAAGTTGTGAAGCAAACACGCCAGTTTGTTAAGCCAATTAAGGACCTGCTATAGGTTTGATTTTGCCAAAAAAAAGAAAAAACACAGCAAAATTGTTGTAAAAGGCAGTCACATGACCATGGGATGCTGCAGATGGTCATAAATGTGGGGCCAAGTGCCTGAAGTGCGGTCATGTGACCAGGCAGGGATAGGACTATTGGAACTTAAGATCAAAGTTGCCTTTTTTCAAATTGGTTGTCACTTCAAACAGTTGCCAAGTGACCGGCCATAAATCAAGGACTGCCTGTGATTTCAATAATAATAATAATAATAATAATAATAATAATAAAGTTGGAAGGGACCTTGGAGGTCATCTAGTCCAACCCCCTACTCAGACAGGAAACACTATACAATTTCAGACAAATGGCTGTCCAGTCTCTTCTTAAAAACGTCCAGTGTTGGAGCATTCACCGCTTCTGGAGGCAAGTTGTTCCACTGGTTAATTGTTCTAACTGTCAGGAAGTTTCTCCTTAGTTCTAGGTTGCTTCTCTCCTTGATTAGTTTCCATCCATTGCTTCTTCTTGTCCTGCCTTCGGGTGCTTTGGAGAATAGGTTGACCCCCTCTTCTTTGTGGCAGCCCCTTAGATATTGCAACACTGCTATCCTGTCCCCCCTCGTCCTTCTCTTCATTAAACTAGACATACCCAATTCCAGCAACTGTTCTTCATACATTTTAGCCTCCAGTCCCCTCAGTCTTAAAGACCTGGCAACCTCTCTGCTTTGATCAAAATGGCCAATACTAAATTCTGCAATGACCACACAGCTGCCCAACATACTTTGTGGTTGGTTTATTCCTTCCACTTCCTTTTCCCCAAGCTTATCCCCATGTAGTAAGATTTGTTTTAAAACCATGCAATCTGTAAAACTGACTATTGTTAAGTCAGTTTTTTAAAAATGGATTTAAACATTGTAGGCTGCCATCACATTGGTTAAAGTGTTTTTTTAGGACACCAGAGAGCTGAGTAAACAGATACAGGTGTTCCTCTACTTAGGATCAGTCATTTAGCAACCGTTCAGCGTTACAACAGATCCCCAAAAAAGGTCCTTACAGCTTGGCTTCTGATGGCTGCCTCACCCCCTGATCACATTTTGAGCGCTTAGTGATTGACTTGCATTTGCAGCTGTTTGCAGCATCCCACAGTTATATGACCATAATTTACAATGTTCTTTGCTGGAAACGGTTATTTACTTCCTGATTGCTATAAATTGCAGACACTGGACACGTTTTAACACAAAAAAATGTCATAAAATTGGGTTGGTCATGTGGATGACCTGCTTAGCAATCAATCTGAATTACAGCTGTCTCAATTAGGACTATAAATCAAGGACTACCCTTATCAGGGTTCTGAAAGTCAGCGAGCATGAAATAGTATGCTGGCTGGGGAATTCTGGGAATTGAAGTCCACAGATCTTACTTACCCTGATGTTGGTATTTCCTCAGTGGAAACATGGTCCATTCCCAGGCTGCCTTTACCCTTTGGTCTGATCTTTATTAGGTTTTTGGTGGTTCAGCTGCGGCCGCTTCCTTTTTCCTTTGTGGTTCTGGTTTAGGTCCTAGACGAAGCTGACCGGTTGCTGGAACAAGGCTGCACCGACTTTACCAAAGACTTGGAAGTCATCCTGGCTGCAGTTCCAGCTGACAGGCAGACGATGCTCTTCAGTGCCACCCTGACAGATACCCTGAATGAGCTCAAGAAGATCGCCATGAACAAGCCGTTCTTCTGGGAATCGACATCTGAGTGAGTTTGGCTTTTGAGGGTGTGTGTGTGTGTGTCTTTTAACGGAGAAAGCATTTGGGGTCTGGCGGGAGGAGGAGGAAGAAGTGAGAGAGAGGCTTATAGAACTGTGTGCTGTAGAAATGGTGGTTTTCCTCCCACTGTCAGAATGAAACTACAGTGAAATTCATAGTTAGGCAGTTAGGTTTTTTTTTAGTACAGGTGTCATGGTTCCGACAGATGAAACTCTTCAAAGAACTTGGAGGCATTGTTTACCTTAAAGAATCTTTTATTCGAATAGCATAACATCGTACATAGGCAAAGCCAAAATCTGAATTCCCCTCCCCTGAGCACATAGTATCAAAGCACACTTCCCTCCTCTAATTAACAGTCATAAATCACATTCTCCAATTAGTTTGAAATGCAGGCTTTCCCTCCAGTTTTTCAACCCACCATTTCTTATCTCTTATTTCAAAAAAACCTTGGTTCTCACTCTAGTTACAATACTGTTATGTCTAACTCAACTCCCGTGCACATTCCTCCTCCTCCTCTCCCAGTATCATCTAATTCCAACTCTAATTCTAAGAGTAAAACATAAAAAGGAAAATGGCTGCATCTCCGTACGTTGTCAAAGCAAGAACATCCGATGTTAGCAGCGTTGACAACAGATCATCCTCGCCTTATAACCATCCGTTTAATGACTGTTCAAAGTTGCAACAACACTAAAAACAGCGACTTACCACCATTTTTCCACACGAAAGTTGCAGCATCCCCATGGGTTACGTATCGGAATTCAGACGCTCGGCAACCGATTCACACTTATGACGGCTGCAGTCTTCCAGGGGGATGGGATCCCCTTTTGCGACCGTCTGATGAGCAAAGTCAATGGGGGAAGCCAGATTCACTTAACCATCGTGTTCTTAACTTAACACCTGCAGCGATTGACTTTAACAACTGTGTCAAAAAAAAGGTCATAACATGGGGCAAAATTCACTTAACAGCTGTCTCGCTTGGCCGTGGAAAATTTGGGCTTAATTGTGGTCGTAAATTGAGGGCTACCTGTAGAAGAAAACAGTTCACATCCTGAATTGTGCAATTGGCCCATCTAGCCATCTAGATTGGGGGGCCCAACCTTGGCCACTTTAAGACTTGTGGACTTCAACTCCCAGAATTCCTCAGCCAGCGTTGCTGGCTGAGGAATTCTGGGAGTTGAGGTCCACAAGTCTTAAAGTGGCCAAGGGATACCTTCCTGGCATTTTCAGGAGAAGCCTTGAACCCAGCCCCCTTCCTGTCGGTGCCCATCTCCACTAGGAATCATGGCATCCTGGCAAAACAGTGAAGGAAAGCAGCCTGTTTCACATGGTCTCCAAGGAAGGGATTGTCCTAACGCCTTCCTAAGAGAGATCAAAGAATTACCTGGTCTTTGATCCTGCTCTTTTCTCTTCCACACCTGCAAAATATCATGTCACAAAAAAGATGTTGAGAGTTTGGAAAAAAATTCAGAGAAGAGCAACTAAGACGATCCAAGGCCTGGAGACTAAAACATACGAAGAACGGCTGCGGGATTTGGGTTTGGCTAGTCTAAAGAAAAGAAGAAATAGGGGAGACATGATAGCCGTGTTCCAGTATCTGAGGGGCTGCCACAAGGCAGAGGGGGTCACGTTATTCACCAAAGCACCAAAGGGAAGGATGAGAAACAATGGATGGAAACTGATCAAGGAGAGAAGCAACCTGGAATTAAGGGAAAACTTCCTGACAATGAGGACAATCAATCAGTGGAACAGCTTAGCCCCAGAAATCACCGGAGATTTTTAAGAAGAGGCTAGAGACAGTCACCTGTCTGAGATGGTATAGGTTCTCCTGCTTAAGCGGTAGGCTGGACTAGAAGACCTCCAAGATCCCTTCCAGCTCTATTCTATTCTATTCTATTCTATTCTATTCTATTCTATTCTATTCTATTCTATTCTATTCTATTCTATTCTATTCTATTCCTGTTCTGATTCTGTTCTGATTCTATTCTATTCTATTTTATTCCTGTTCTGATTCTATTCTATTCTATTCTATTCTATTCTATTCTATTCTATTTTTGTTCTATTCCTGTTCTGATTCTATTCTATTCTATTCTATTCCTGTTCTGATTCTATTCTATTCTATTCTATTCTATTCTATTCTATTCTATTCTATTCTATTCCTGTTCTGATTCTATTCTATTCTATTCTATTCTATTCTATTCTATTCTATTCTATTCTATTCTATTCTATTCCTGTTCTGATTCTATTCTATTCTATTCTATTCTATTCTATTCTATTCTATTCTATTCTATTCTATTATGTGTCTAAATATCCTTCTACCTTGCATTATCAGATAAGGATTAAGGAGACTTTAATCAAATTGGATAGCGAGATGGGTACTGCCTAAATTGGATGGATGGAGAGTTTATTAGATTATCTCCCCTTTATTACTTTATAAATTACTCAAGGCAATGAGCATTCCTAATACTCCTCCTTCCATTTTCCCCACAACAACAACCTTGTGAGGTGGGTTGAGCTGAAAGAGAGTGGCTGGCTCAAAATGTCATGCCTAAAGGGGGGGGGGCTAAAACTCACCATCTCCTGGTTTATCAGCCAGCACCTTCACTGCTACACCAAACTGATGTAGACAGAGCCCACAAAGTGACCATAAACAGAATGATTGTCAAACTGCTCCGGGGGGGGGGTAGCTCTCAATTCAAAGTACAATAAATATAGGTTAATAAGACTGTTTTCTCCTCCTTCCTGAATGAAATGTAATGGAAGTGAAGGGAGGATTCATCCAGTTGCTAAAAAGGATAAATGATTTCATATAAGCCTATTTAAACATTTCAGTCAAGCCACAATTTCCGCCTTAATCTTCTTCAGCCAATTGATCCCGTACAATTAATTAAGTTTCTTCTTTACCCCCCACTTCTGCTTAATGAATGCTTTGGAATGAATTCCGGCGTAATGACTTGAATCTCTTGACTTCCTAATGAAGGCTCCATTTCTGATGGACTCTGACCAGGCTTAAGTAACTGTTTATAATTTGATCGTTGGCTGGTGCTTTCAAAATGCCTGTCCCTAACAGCTGGCCAATCTCACGGTCTTTAAAGATTTTAGGTCAGTCTTGCAGAGAAGATTAGTTTATGGTAAACAAGCTGGGTGCCAAAAATACAGGTAGCCCTAGACCGGGGCTAGGCAACCTTGACTCTTTTATGACTCGTGGACTTCAACTCCCAGAATTCCTGAGCCAGCCATGCTGAGGGGAAAGGGAGAGGTTTCCAAGCTGAGCCATGCTGGCTCAGGAATTCTGGGAGTTGAAGTCCATGAGTTATAAAAGAGCCACGGTTGCCTACCCCTGTCCTAGACCTATGACTACAATTGAGCCCAACATTTCTGTTGCTGAGAGAGACAGTTCTTAAGCGAGTTTTGCCCCATTTTATGACCTTGGTTGCCACAGTTTTTAAGCGAATCACTGCAGTTAGTAAACGCAGTTGATAAATGAATCTGGCTTCCCCATTGACTTTTGCTTGTCAGAAGGTCACAAAAGGGGATCACATGACCCCGGGACGCCGCAACCATCATAAATACATGTCAGTTGCCAAGCACCCAAATTTTGACCACGTGACCATGGAGCTGCTGCAACGGTTGTGTGAAAAACCCGTCACACTTTTTTTTTCGGTGATGTTGTAACTTTGAACAGTTACTAAACGAAGGGTTCCAAGCCGAGGACCACCTGTACACACTGATGCCATTTTTTTTCTGTCAGTGGAAATAACCAAGCAGACAGGAACCTTCAGTATTCAGTTTAAATTGGGATTTCTGATACGTCAGTCCTGCCAAAAATCGAAAGCGGAGGCTTTATTTTTAATAATGATAATGATAAAGTTGGAAGGGACCTTGGAGGTCATCAAGTCCAACCCCCTGCTCAGGCAGGAAACCCTATACCATTTTGGACAAATGGCTGTCCAGTCTCTTCTTAGAAACTTCCAGTGTTGGAGCATTCACCGCTTCTGGAGACAGGTTGTTCCACTGGTTAATTGTTCTAACTGTCAGGAAGTTTCTCCTTAGTTCCAGGTTGCTTCTCTCCTTGGTTAGTTTCCATCCGTTGCTTCTTGTCCTGCCTTCAGGTGCTTTGGAGAATAGCTTGACTCCCTCTTCTTTGTGGCAGCCCCTGAGATAGTGGAACATTTTTGCTTCCAACTCCTACTTTGCTTAAGAATGATATTGCGGAAATCCCAGATCAGTTTTAATACTGAACCAACCAACACTGGAGTTTTATTTCCTGCATCACTATAACAGATCAAAGAAGTAAAAGCACGGATTTTAGGCGCCTCCACCAGCAGAGGCCAATTTGGGGATCCACATTTGCAATAAACGATAAACTAGAATTTTCCACAGCCCAGGCAGATTGCTGTATGTGAGCAGAGCAATTACGCAGAGTCTCCTATAACATTGATTCATTTTGTTTATTTTTATGGTATTTATAACCCATTCCAGTCCCAAGGGACTTTGGGCAGTATACAACATCCACAGAAACACTCTTCCCCAATAAGTAAACAAGTTCAAAAACGAATTGCGAAAACCAACATTAACCTCAAAGAAAATCTGAACCAGGCAATCAGAACTAGAATGAAATAATATGGTTTTAACTTGTTTATGGAATTTCAGCAAAATGGGGGCTGCCTATATTGTTGAGGGGTGACTATTTCATTGGGTGAGGGCTGTTACAGGAAAGGTTAAGAAAATGTATAAAATAACATCTACACCCAGCAGTATAGCTGCTCTTGTAGAGGAGGGCCTTAGTGGGAGGGAGTATTGTTGGACTGCCCTTGATTGGGAAGCCAACTGTTGGAGGGAGACACGAGGGAGAATCTTACGGGGTGAGACATGACGGAGACAGACAAGAAAAAGAATAAAAGTTCTTCACTTCAATCTCTTCTGTAGCTGTTGGCCTTGCAGGGCGAATCAAATAGGAAACATGACCAGATGAACTGCTTTATTTTATTTCTACGAGGTAGTCCTCGACTTACGACCAAAATCTCTCTTGCTAAGCGAGACAGTTGTTAAGTGAGTCTTGCCCCGTTTTACGACCTTCCTTGCCACCGTTGTTAAGAGAATCACTGCAGTGTTAAGTTAGTAACACGGTTATAAAGTGAGTCTGGCTTCCCCCTTGATTTTGTTTGTCAGAAGAACGCAAAAGGGGATCACAAGATCCAGGGACGCTGTAGCTGTCATAAATACGATCCAGTTGCCAAACATATGAACTTTGATCATGTGGGATGCTGCAACAAGCATCTACGTGAAAAACGGTCATAAGTCACTTTCTTCATTGTCATTGTAACTTCGAATAGTCGCTAAACGAATGGTTTTAAGTCAGAAACTGCCTGTAGCTCAACATGTGACTCTAGGTGGCGTGCATCATATGACATAAAAACAAAACAGTACAAAATAAAGATATATGGAACCAAGTAAAACTGTTACTGGGGATGCTAATACAGCCAGGGAACAGGGCCCTTAACACCTCAATATTACTTTATTGTGAAGCTGCATTGATAGAATCTTGCAAATTTGAAAGTACATTTCCTCTCCTCGCCCTGACTCCTTTACAGTGCAAGAAACTAGGGAAGGCTGAATCCTTTGCCCTCACTCTTATGCTGCTGTGGGTTATGCTGTCTCATCTTAAGCAGCATCTTTGTCCACTGTCCCAAGGTCATTCCACATACTATGACAGCAGAGGAGTATAGAGATCAACTCAAGGAAGGAATACAAGAATGACTAAATGAATATTAGTTCAGCCCCGGGAAGAAGAAAGGGTGAGAAAGAAACTCAAGATTGTCCTGCCTTTTTCTCTTTGGTATAAGACAGGGGAAGGCAATCTTGGCTCTTTTATGACTCGTGGACTTCAACTCCCAGAATTCCTGAGCCAGCCATGCTGAGGGGAAAGGGAGAGGTTTCCAAGCTGAGCCATGCTGGCTCAGGAATTCTGGGAGTTGAAGTCCACGAGTCACAAAAGAGCCGAGGTTGCCTATCCCTGGGCTAGTCAGTCACTTGTCTGAGATGGTATAGGTCAGGGGTAGGCAACCTTGGCTCTTTTATGACTCGTGGACTTCAACTCCCAGAATTCCTGAGCCAGCATGGCTCAGCTTGGAAACCTCTCCCTGTCCTCTCAGCATGGCTGGCTCAGGAATTCTGGGAGTTGAAGTCCACGAGTCATCAAAGAGCCAAGGTTGCCTATCCCTGGTATAAGACAATGCTTTTTCAAACTTTTAAACTTTAAGATGTGTGGACCAGGAATTCTTCAAGTTCCAGAAGTCCCCAGCCAGCTTTCTTTTAAGATTGTGTGGACGGCCTAATCATAAAGTTGTCTTGGTTTGAGAAATACAATACTGGTATAACAGGAGGCAGAGGGATGCGCTACCCGTCTTAAAAGGTTCTGTCTATAACAGGGGTAGGCAACCTTGGCTCTTTTATGACTCGTGGCCTTCAACTCCCAGAATTCCTGAGCCAGCCATGCTGAGGGGAAAGTGAGAGGTTTCCATGCTGAGCCATGCTGGCTCAGGAATTCTGGGATTTGAAGTCCACGAGTCATAAAAGAGCCAAGGCTGCCTACCCCTGGTCTATAACAATCAAGTTCCAGACATTCTTCTGGTGTCTATTTCTTGACCTGTCCTCCCTTGAAGGGCTTGACATTATGCCTTAACTCCATGCCTTAAGATCTCTTCTTCTTCTTTCTCTCCATCCCCCAAATCCCACCAGAGTACGGACAGTGGAACAGCTTGACCAGCGTTACCTACTGGTGCCCGAGAAGGTCAAAGACGCTTACTTGGTCCACCTTGTGCAAACTTTCCAAGATGAACATGAGGACTGGTCCATCATCATCTTCACCAACACTTGCAAGTGAGTTTGTCCAGCACCCGAAGCATCTTTGCCTCCATAATTTCTGCTTTCTCCTCTTCTTCGGTCTCTTCTTTTGGCCCAGAGCTGGTATTTCAGTCTTAATGTAAGGACACCGAATAGCAACGTGCCAGTCGGGCTAAAACTTGCCCATCAATTCAAATTAAAATGTTTGAAGGTGTTTTTTTTTTTTTAAAAAAATAATTCTGGGTTCTCTTCCCTGTTTTAAATCAGATTGAGGAGAAGGCGGTTGGGGTGGACATAGTTTATCTAGCACAGTGTTTCTCAACCTTGACAATTTTAAGGCATGTGGACTTCAACTTCCAGAATTCCACAGCCAGCAATGCTGGCTGTGGAATTCTGGGAGTTGAAGTCCACATGCCTTAAAATTGTCAAGGTTGAGAAACACTGATCTAGCGTAGGTTGTGCTCAGGAGAAAATGCCATTTTCTCTTTCCTTACCTTTAAAATATCCTGTGTGCTCTGAATAGGATGGGATTTCTCGTAGACATTTCCTTTCCTTCAGCACTTCCTGGAATGATTAGTGATCAGATTTTGCTATAGAAAGTATTGAAGAAAGTGAGTCTTCCTGTGCAGAATCCAACACTGCTGGGAACACGTGGAGGGTTTTAAAGTCTAATGTGCTGAGGGTATACTATAAGATGGATGGATGATGTTCCATCAGGTTTTTATAGTTCCTAGTGACCACGCTTGCTCCTGGGGAGGAAAGCTATGGCAAATCTAGACAGCATTCTAAAAAGCAGAGACATCACCCTGCCAACAAAAGTGCGTATAGTCCAGGCCATGGTTTTCCCAGTTGCAATGTATGGCTGTGAAAGTTGGACCATAAGAAAGGCTGAGCGCAAAAGAATTGAGGCCTTTGAACTATGGTGCTGGAGAAGACTCCTGCGAGTCCCTTGGACTGCAAGGCATTCAAACCGGTCAGTCCTAGAAGAGATCAACCCCGACTGCTCTTTAGAAGGCCAGATCCTGAAGTTGAAACTCAAATACTTTGGCCACCTAATGAGAAGCAAGGACTCACTGGAGAAGGGCCTAATGCTGGGAAAGATTGAGGGCAATAGAAGAAGGGGACGACAGAGAATGAGATGGCTGGATGGAGTCACTGAAGCAGTAGGTGTGAACTTAAATGGACTCCAGAAGATGGTAGAGGACAGGAAGACCTGGAGGAACGTTGTCCATGGGGTCGTGATGGGTCGGACACGACTTCGCAATTAACAACAACAACAACAAGTGACCACATTGATACAATTTTCTCCAGGATGATTATCAGATAGACCTAACCCAGTGATGGCGAACGTTTTAGAGACCGAGTGCCCAAAAATTGGCCCCGTTCCTGCTCCACCCCATGCCCTGCCTGCCCGCAGAGCCATTCACCACCTGCAGTGCCCACTGCAGATCGCCAGGCAACCCAGCAGCATCATTGCAGCCACGCCCTCTGCCCGCGTCCTGCAGTATCAACTGTGCGCGATGGGGTGTGAGGGCAGAGTCTTATCTACACTGTCTGGCTGCCATGTCCTTGGCTGTGCTGCTCGGGGCGACTCTCCTCCAGGGGGGCTGCTGGTGAGGAGGGGGTCATGGGGGGAGGCAAGGCTGGGGCAACGGCACGTGTGCTCACAGAGAGGGCTCTTGAGTGCCGCCTCTGGCACGCGTGCCATAGGTTTGCCACCACTGACCTAACCTCTTTTATCTGGTAATCCAACTGCTATAACTGGATCTGTCCCCTTTGCTGCTGGTCATCTTCTTCTCTTTCCTTCCAGCTTCCCGAGCCTTAAAGAGTTTTCTCCAGAGAGTTGGGTTATTGCTTAATATACCTGAAGTAGGAAGATTGGAGCCTAAACTAGTTGAGTTCAAGTGAGAATTCCAGTTTGATATGGGCACAAAACTCCCTGCCTCATTTGCAACTTGCTATCATTGTGAGCCAGTCTTTCTCCTTAAGTAGAAGACAGAGGAAGGTGAATGCAGCCTTGTTTGGGAGTGTACCTCTCCCATCTCGGGTGCAAGGTCAGTCTTTCGAGGAACATTAGCAAGTAGATCCTTATCTGTCAAGTTTAATCATTTGTGACTTCAAAGAATTGCGTTGACCAAGCAGTCAAACTTGCCTTCTGACATAATCAGGAACCGGCACATTCTTTTGATTAACAGATGGATAGAGCAAATGTTTCTGAGCAGATGCAGAGTTGTGTAGCTCCTGCCCACCCAAGAGTAACAGAAGACTGATTTTATTATTGTATTGTATTTTTGTTCAATTTATACGCCACCTATCTTGCTCTGCCTTTTTAGGACCTGCCAAATTCTGAACATGATGCTCAGGAAGTTCAATTTCCCATCCGTGGCTCTCCACTCAATGATGAAACAGGTAAGTGGTGGCGCAGCAGTTAGAGTGCAGTACTGCAGGCCACTTTAGCTGACTGTGTTCAGCAGGTCAGCGGTTCAAATCTCACCCGCTCAAGGTTGACTCAGCCTTCCATCCTTCGGGGGTAGGTAAAATGAGGACCCAGATTGTTGGGGGCAATGTAAATATATAGATACATTGCTTACTGGTGTACACTGCTTAGAGAGTGCTTGCACTTAAAGCGGTATATAAGTCTCATAAATAAATAAATAAGTAAGTAAGTAAATAAGTCAATAGTGGCCACCAACAGCTGCCCAGAGGATGGAATATGGGTGCTCAAGGCCAGTTCCTCAATTCTTCTGCCATGCTGCTTCCTTGCCATATAGTTTGGGTGAAGCATCTTTTCCACCAATGCCAGCTCCAAGCCTCCTTGGAGCATAAGAAGGTCTATGGACCCCTCTCTTTTTCCATCCACCTCAAGGAGATTTCTAAGCTGCATCTCCATTTGTGCTTCTCCACGGAGATAGGGAGTATCCATCACTCAACGAATTAAGCAGCTTCACATGTAGGGAATTCCAGGTTGAGTTCCGAGTATCCCAGGTAAGCAGATCCTTTGGCCTGTAGAATCCTCTCTTCTCATCCGAATCCCGTTGCCAGAGAGTAAAAAACAAAACAGTTTCCTGCTCTAATGATGTTCTTGTCGTGGTTCTGATAGATGAGACCAGCAAAAAGAACTCCAAGGCAAAAAAAAGCTTCCTCAAAGAACATACTTATTTGGCTACATAATAACAGCACGTTCAAAAGTGAACCCAAGACTCCCCCCCCCCCAGGTTAGAAAGTTACAAAGTTAAACTTCCGCCCCAGTAGTATGTCATAAATCACATCCCCCTCTGCTATTTGCAAGGGCTTTTTCAGGAAAGTTACAGCCAGGCCAAAATACAGTTAGCAATGACCTTGGTTCCCATGAAACAGTTATCGTTATGTCTAAGATAAAACACTCATTCCCCCTCCCAATTCTGTGGCAACCTAAAATGAAGGGAAAATGGTTTCAGCTGATTTCGTTTTAGAATTGACAGTTCTTTTTCCTTCTCTCTTTTTGGGGGGGGTCAGAAACAACGTTTTGCAGCGCTGGCGAAATTCAAATCAAGCGTCTTTAAGATCTTAATAGCTACTGATGTAGCTGCCAGGTGAGTGGAGCCTCTCTGTAGCTAAAATAGGTCCGGAAAAGTGTGGGGGGGGGGTAATCCCAGATTAGATAGAATGCCAAGCTTAACCATCTTCTCTGTGTTTTCAATTCTTTTTGATTTAGGGGGCTCGACATTCCAACCGTCCAAGTAGTCATCAATCACAACACACCCGGACTCCCCAAAATCTACATCCACAGGGTGGGTCGAACAGCCCGAGCTGGTAAGGGGGATTCTCTTCATGGTTTCAAATCCATTGTCAGTCTGATTCATTCTCTTTGGAAACAACAGGAATCCTTAAGGCAGGGATAGGCAACCTTGGCTCTTTTATGACTCGTGGACTTCAACTCCCAGAATTCCTGAACCAGCATGGCTCAGCTTGGAAACCTCTCCCTTTCCCCTCAGCATGGCTGGCTCAGGAATTCTGGGAGCTGAAGTCCACAAGTCATAAAAGAGCCAAGGTTGCCTACCCCTGCCTTAAGGGTTCTGTACTTTGTGACTTCAGAGCCCACTTTGATTGACGTTTGAACCGGCCTTTAGAAAGAGGCCTTCCTCTGGGATTCCCCACCTTCTGGGCATTGGACCATCCTTGTCCAGGGAAGGGATGCTGTTTATTTTGGAGGTTGTGCTGGAATTTTCTTCTCCCTGGAAGTTTTCAATGTGCTGACATGCTTGTTTTTTTCCCTCCTCACCTCAAGGCTCTTTGTAGGTCAGGGGTAGGCAACCTTGGCTCTTTTATGACTCGTGGACTTCAACTCCCAGAATTCCTGAGCCAGCCATGCTGAGGGGAAGGGAGAGGTTTCCATGCTGGCTCAGGAATTCTGGGAGTTGAAGTCCACGAGTCATAAAAGAGCCAAGGTTGCCTACCCCTTTTATAGGTGATCCTCAACTTAATTGAACCTAGAATTATCATTGCAAGTCATGGTCGTTAAGCGGGTCACCATATGACCGAACCCAGTTTTATGACCTTTTTGCATCTGTTGTTAAGCGAACCTGTTTTCAACATTGGGCAGGGTTTTTTGGCAGGAAACTGGGGAAAACGTCAAAAATCACACTCATGTGATCGTAGGATGCTGCAAAATAGCCCTAAATGTGAGCTGGTTGCCCAGCACCCAGATGCAGTCATGTGACCAGGGGCAGAGAGGTTGCCGGGCTGTCGTAACTTTGAAAAAGGGTTGTAATTAGCCCTGGGAAAATCCATTGTAACTTCAAACGGTTAAATGAGGATACCTGTGTTTCATTTCTGAGCTCAGAAAGGCCCCTGAGCAGCACAGGTCATCCTTGTTTAATTCTGGTAATTAAGATCGGAATAATGTTGACCGCACCGCTTAGCTGGGGACTAGTTGTACTGTCCAGAACCGGCTTTCTCAGGGGAAAGATGGGAAGAACCACCTGTGCCCACTGCTCTTCCATGGCTATTCTTAACAGGTCGGCACGGAATTGCCATCACGCTGGTGACCCAGTACGATATCCATCTTGTCCATGCGATTGAAGAACAGATCAGTAAGTTGCCAAAAGGTGGGAAATTTGGGGTGGGGGATGGGGAGCCTGAAACATCTGTAAAGTACTAATTTCACTTGCTGCCATAGTTGGCAGCTAGGAGATGAGAAGAGACAGGTAGCGAGGGATCTAAAGCGGGGGAGGTAAGCAGCGGAAATCTTTTGTCTGTTTTCTTTTGTCTGTTTTCTCTTCCCTTTTTTTCCCCAAGTTTTTTATTAATTTTCCAATATTACATTTACATATTTGAAAAGTAGCGTGGCGGTTGAGCACAGTAATTTCATTACATTTAAATATCATCTGTACAAATCTCGAAGTATTACAACAATTAATTCCCTCTCTTTCCCCCATAAGATCTACTGTCATATTCAGATCAATGCAGTTCTTATTCTATCAATCAAACAAAAAATACCTTTCTAGTATTCATCAATAATCTTCAGTCTATACATATCTTAATTAATTTGACATTCCATCTTTTAGACAATAACCTAATAAGTTTTTCTTAACTTTAATTTCCCACTGATATTTAAATTTAATGTTTAATCTTTATCATTTCCAGATTTTAAATGATCCCAATTTCTCAGTCTCCTGTCTCATATTTAGGGCTAATAATTTTTTTTCTTTTCTTCCTTCTACTTCCTTCCTTTCTTCCTTTCCAGAAAAATAAAAAAATAAAAATAAAAAATAATAAACCATCAGCATTTGTACCACAAACCAATATACGAATTTAATTGTTAGTATTTATACTTCTAAGTTTTACTTAACTTGTGTCTCAACTCATAACAATATCTGAACCTCAAATCTTAGTTATCTGTAAACATTCAAACTTTTAGCAAATCAGTCACCTGGGGGTTAATTTTCCCTTAATATTTTAATTTAACGTTTAATATTTATTTATTCTTTTCAAATTTTAATTAAGCACAATTCCTTTATCACAATTCCTCATACAATCTAATATTTAAAATACTAATATTTAAAAATGTTCTTTTGTCTGTTTTCTCTTCCCTTTTTTCTCCTCTCCTTTCCTCTCCGGGTCCAGCTCAGTTGGCTTCTATCTAGATCAGTGGTTCTCAACCTGTGGGTCGGGACCCCATTTGGGGTCGAACGACCATTTCACGGGGGTCGCCAAACAATGCAGTCCACCATTTCCCCCCCCCCCCATTCCTTAGCTGTGCTAGTCCCTTTTATTCTATTGGCTTTTGAAAGCCAATAGAATAGACTCTCTTGAATAGAGTCTAATTCTATTGGCTTTCAAAAGCCAATAGGAATTGTCCAGACTGTCTCTGCCCTGCTGAGCCCGCCAAAAGTCCCATTCTGCAAAGGGTGCTGCACCAATTGAGTAGTCGTCGACTTACGACCGGTTGAGTAGTCCTCAACTTACGACAGGTTGGGGGGTCGCGGCATTAAAAAGGTTGAGAACCACTGGTGTAGAACTCAAGTGGGTTTCTTTCTAGACCTAAAAAGTAAGAGGTTGGGGACTACTTTTCCTCAGCCCATCCTCTTTTCTGTCCTTGGGAATGCCTTGTCTTTTTCTTTTTTTTTAATACAAGTTTTATTGAGTTTTTTTTTCAGTTTTTACATCACAGTGCTTAGGAAACAGCATGCTGATGGGGTAATCAATTATCCCAAAACAAAGTCATTTGTATATAGCTCAGGTTAACTCATTAAAAAATTCCCTCTCTAGTTCCCTCAAGTAATATACCATATTCAGATTAATACGTTTCTAGTGAAATTCAATCAATCGGTAAAATTATCAGTAACATTTTAACTATACAAATCCCAATCCTGTATTTAAGCTTTACAAAATTCCAATTACCGTATTTCAATTTAGCCGTAAATAAGTATATTGTTTATACTTTGAGTATCCCTAATTTCCCTCTTTTCATAACATAATAATTATAGTATCTAAAAATAAACATATTGTTCCAACAATTACATTCTCATATTTCCTAAACATATTCTATTCTTATTCTACTAGCCCAGGGGTAGGCAACCTTGGCTCTTTTAGGACTCGCGGACTTCAACTCCCAGAATTCTGGGAATTGGAGTCCGCGAGTCCTAAAAGAGCCAAGGTTACCTACCCCTGTACTAGCCAGTCATTTACTAATACTAATTCCCATGTCTTCTGTTGTGATAATAGAAGACATGGGAATGCCTCATCTTGAGCCCCTCCCAGCACACAACATCAGAGCTATATCTCTGAGGGTTCTCCTGAGACGAGCAAAAGGACCCAGTTTAGGATATGCTGCATGATTTGGAATATAAGATGCTTTAAATGGGGCGGGTCTGCTTGCAGTTAGGTAGTCCTAAAAACGGTGTATGTTTAGTCTGAGTAAAACCTGACTGTTAAAAAGGGTGACTCAGAATGGTTTAGATCAGGCACGTCCAACCTTGGCAACTTTATAAGACCTGTGGACTTCAACTCCCAGAATTCCCCATGCCAGCCATACACGTTCACAAGTCTTCAAAGTTGCCAAGATTTAGGTCGTGTCAGCCTCCTCTCCTCCATTTAGCCAAAGTTTTGTATGCAGCTAAAAAAAAACAAGTACTGCAGCTAGATATCCAATTTAGAGGAAGATGTTTATTCCTACCATTGGGTTAAAACAGACATGTCAAACTCGCGACGTCATGTGACGTCGTGCGACGTATCAGGACTGTTTTGCCATTGCCGGCAATGGGGTGGGCACGGCTTCCGCGTGACGCATTCGGCCCATGGGCCGGCAGTTTGACACCCCTGGGTTAAACAATACTATATATATATATACTGCAGTTTTACTTTTTTCAATCTCTTTTGCCTTGCAGCCCCCCAACTAGGGGCATTAAGCAGGCTCAAGTTGCAACTGCAAAACATTTACAAATCCAAATTTCTTTTTCTGACAAAGAGTTAAAGAATTAAATTGGGAGACTAAGATGGCCATTTCGAGCTCATTCTGCTCTCTTCAGTTAGCCATACCCTTTATGGGATTTGAACCTGGGCAGTTTACATACTAGGCAGTGATTTAACCACCAAGCCACAGGCTTTTCTCCCCTCTTTGCCAGCCGCGTCAAGGGAGTATATACAGGAGGTTTTTCAGACAGACCGGTCTGATTGATTACATATATATATATACTGATTGAATATATATGTACACTGCCCAGAATCACTCTACGAAAGAGGTGGGCAGTTTCTAATATAAACACAAATAAATACAGAAAGCCTAATTGCAACTAGTTGTAGCTCAGCTTATGCATAAACCCAACTGTTGTTTGCTAATCATGGTTTATAACAGTTGTGTGAATCTAAATAAGCCTTGCTTTAGTCTTAGCCCAGGGACTGAAGTGACTATCTCCACACGCATACTTCTCTTTGGTTGTGAAAAGATGGGGCTTTGTTTTGCTGTGTCAGCGTTTGGCTTCCCCTCTCCTTAGAAATGAAGCTTCAGGAGTTTTCCGTGGAGGAGCAAAATGTGCTGAAAATTCTCACCCAAGTGAACGTGGTCCGACGGGAATGTGAGATTGTAAGTGGAGGCAAGTGGAGGGAGGGAGCTGGTTCCTGGACCTCAAGTTGGGAAGTGAGGATTTGGATGCGGAGAAGCTCCGTTCAAGTCCACTGCTTTTAGCTGCTCCCCTGTAAGAACACGTCAATCAAGTAACTCCACAATGCTGCATGCTTTGTTTTTTCCTAACTCAGAGACTGGAGGCAACAGATTTTGATGAGAAGAAGGAAATAAATAAGCGGAAGCAGATGATCCTGGAAGGAAAGGTAGGAAAGGGAGAAGAATTCCAGTTGCTGCCAGTCGAGAGCAGGGGCTAAGTGGGATTCACCCCAGTCCTGACCCTCCATCAGTGGAGGCTTGCAGATCAGGAGCAACTGACAAAACACACCCCCAAGGACATTGACAAGGGTAGGCCACTGGTATATAAACAGAGACCAACCCCTTCCCCCTCCCTCCTAGTACTGATGGTGTTACCTAGTTCAGTAATGAAACATCTGCAAGGAAAAAAAACCAAAGCTCAAAGAGCACCAAGGACCCCACGCTTTTCCTTTTTTGATTGCATTTTTTTCATCCTTAATTTGCTTTGACCCAAAGGAGAAGTTTCTTGACAGTTAGAACAATTAACCAGTGGAACAACCTGCCTCCAGAAATTGTGGATGCTCCAACACAGGAAGTTTTTAAGAAGAGACTGGACAACCATTTGTCTGAAATGGTATAGGCTTTCCTGCCTGAGCAGAGGGTTGGACTAGATGACCTCCAAGGTCCTTTCTGACTCTATTATTATTATTAAAGCAAAATTACTATAAAGGTAGCAGGCAAGCTTACTGGCCAGTATGGTTTGCTATGGGTTTCCATCTCTGGTTTATCCAGATAACCTGGGTTAGCGCACGGCTGGGTTTTCTTCAGTGTGCTAAAGTTTGGCTTCCCGAATAAGAGCAATGGTTAGCCATGACCCAGGCTGACAGACCATGGTTTGCAAAGCACAACATTGGGTTTTATACACGATACATTAATGTGGAACCATCCTAAGTTGTAATTGCGAACTCGGTCTTAAACATAGTAGTGGCTGTGAAATCCGTGTTTCCACGAAGCGATAGTTGAGGGTCAGACCGTTTTGGGGGAGACGAAAGGCAAATGCTTACGGTAAGCAGCTGCAATTGGAGGGCCTGAGAAAGGGGAACAGTTTGGGGGGGTCTTGCAAAGAAGGTCTGCTTCTGGGCACCTTGGAATCTCACTCCTTTCCCCCATCCTGGCAGGACCCTGATCTGGAGATGCAACGTAAGGCCGAGCTGGCCAAGATTAAGAAGAAGAAGCTGGAGTTCCAGAGCCGAGTCCAGCAGACCCTGCAGGAGAGGCAGCAGAAGCAGCTCCAGCACAGGTTGAAAAAACGGGTGCGGAGGCAGAAGCAGGCGGCTCCGGCGAAGTGAGGCCGCTCAACGTGTCCAACCTTGGTGGCAAAGGACCCTTGTGGGGAACGATCTGCAGCTGAGCTACCTCCGTCCCGAATTCACCTGGCAGAAAAGGCAGGACGCTTTTTGCAACTTTGGCCTTTGGGTGAACGGACCTGAAGCATTCAGGAGGAAAAGGCTTAGGAAAAAAAAAATGACTAGCAAAGGCAGATTTGAAAAGCTGCTTGGCTGTCCAGAGACCAAGGCGTGTGTCTTCGGGGCTGTCTTCTTTTTTTTTTTTAATCAAAACCAAGGCTTTCAGTTGGGCCTTGGAGACAGCTTCTCTTCCCAAATCGTAAGATCGTGTCTCGCAGCCAGCAGTTTTCAAGTCTCACCAGGCAATCTTACCACTGAGTACAGTTTGGTGATTTGTGGGTGGATCCTTTTGATGGAAGCAGGGTCTGGGTTTTTTTTGGGGGGGGGGGAGATGTCACCAGAATCTCATGATCGTGCCAGGCAGATGCTGGCTAGTAAACCAAGTGCTTTCAATAAATCACTGTCTATGATGAGGGGAAAAATCAGAGGCTTACATGTTTTTTTTTTTAATGCAAGCATAGCTACAGTCTTTGGGTTTGACTGTAACTTTCTTCCAAAATGATTTTGGACAATTTTCAAATAGCATGATATAATAGGAGCCTGTGCATAAAGAGCACTTCCTATTCTTATATCTACTTAAGGTTTTTAGTCTCTTGCTCCCTTTTCTAAGGACCTTTGGATGAATGCAAAAATAGAGGTAATTTATACGGTTTGTCAAATGCTGTAAGAGTGATTTATGTCTGCACTTTTCATGGCTATAAGAGTGATTTATGTCTGCACTTTTCATGGGGGGGAGGGCTCTGATTTTATTTATTAATTTATGTTCACTATCCAAAGCAACTCTAGGGGGCTTACAGTGTAGAACAATAATATAAGAACTATTATAAGAATAATTTAAAAATTATAAGAATTACATAACAGATTAGTAGCCAAGTATCTGATCTTCCTTCCTGCACCGATACGCTATGGCTATGCGGGAGATTTCACATTTGGGGTATTTTGGCTTCCAAATGTCTCGTTTTGGTCATTTTGGAAAGATTTCAATCTGAAAACCCTTTCAAAATGTTTCAAATAGCCTGTTTCAACCCAGGGCAGAGGTTGAATTCCTGAGCCCTGGTATAGGAGCTGCAGAGATATTATGGACTTACGCCTACTTACCATCGGCAGCTCGCTCAAGCGCTACAATTTATTTATTTATTTATGAGACTTATATACCGCTTTAAGTGCAAGCACTCTCTAAGCGATGTACACCAGTAAGCAATGTATATATATTTTACATTGCCCCCAACAATCTGGGTCCTCATTTTACCTACCTCGGAAGGATGGAAGGCTGAGTCAATCTTGAGCCAGTGAGATTTGAACCGCTGACCTGCTGAACACAGTCAGCTAAAGTGAAAGAGATGGGGTGAATACGTGACTTTTGTATAACTTCTCATATTCAGTATGCAGAACTGGGAATGTGGATGTTGAAAAAAAAAATTTCTGTGATCATCGGCACCCTGAAAACCCCGGTGCAGATTTGATTTATGGATCTTATATCAGCGCCAACATTTCAGTGTCTCATGCCCAACGGGATTAGCCCATCCCACTTGCGCTGGCAGAAGAGGCATGTTGCAGACCCTGTTGGTCAAAGAATTTTGGCTGGTGGAGTCCAAGAGAAGACCCTTCTCTGCCTTGAATCCCACCCTGAACATCATGTTTCCCTCCCCCCCCCCATTAAAATCCACACCAGCCCTTTTGGCCTTCCAAAAGGTTTGGAGACCTGACTCTGCCAGCTGGCCTGGGGGAACACATCTTGGAGGTGGTTAATGGATTAGACCAGGGGTAGGCAACCTTGGCTCTTTTATGACTCGAGGACTTCAACTCCCAGAATTCCTGAGCCAGCATGGCTCAGCTTGGAAACCTCTCCCTGTCCCCTCAGTATGGCTGGCTCAGGAATTCTGGGAGTTGAAGTCCGCGAGTCATAAAAGAGCCACGGTTGCCTGCCCCTGGATTAGACAGATCCTACCTCCTCCCCATGCTCACTTGGCTTCCTTCTCCATATCTCAGTTAATTGCATTGTAATTGAATTTTAAATTATCCTCTTCATTATTTTAAGTGTGCTGTATGTTCTTTCATAGAATGACTACCTAGAACTGCCTCAGTGAGATGGGAAGCAGAGAAGTTTAAAAAAATAAATATTTATTAAATATTATAATAAATACATATTTCATGTTTTTTTTGGGCTAGCTTGGAATCCCATCCAGCCTTGTGTTTCTCAACCTTGGCTCAGTAACATGCATTTTTAGAGAGGCGATACCCAATTAAGAGGGATGAATCGCTTTTTTGACTGTTGTACTAGAGTAGTCAGCGCGTAGCGGGTCATAAGTCACGTGTGCACACCATCTCTTCGGCTTTAGCCTTCCCCAGTTCCACGCGTGTAGAGATTGTAGCGCTTGAGTGAGCCGCCGATGGTAAGTAGGCACAAGTCCGTAATATCCCTGCAGCTCAAGGCCAAAATCCTGAGTCCCACGCTTAGATGGTTCATAGAACAGTCCCCCTGTTTGAAATAATTCCCCAGCCATGGCTGGCTGGGGAATTCTGGGAGTTGAAGTCCACACTGTCTCCAGAAGCGGTGAATGCTCCAACACTGGAAATTTTTAAGAAGAGACTGGACAGCCATTTGTCCGAGTTTCCTGCCTGAGCAGGGGGTTGGACTCGATGACCTCCAAGGTCCCTTCCAACTTTATTACTTTTACTATTACATGTCTTAAAAGTGGGCAAGGTTGAGAAACCCTGGCCTACGTTCTTTTCTAATGGCTGGTGCCGCTGCTCTTTTGCAGCTTGAGCCCAATTCTGGGGGGGGTTTTGCCAAATTTCCCCTGGAAAGCAGGGGAAGGGGGTGGGGGGAATCATCCAAGGATAAACCTCTGCCAGTGGATTTGGCCCTCGTTTTATGAAAAGCCCAATTATTTTCTGTCCCTTAAAACACCAAGATGCCGCACCCTAATCTTGTTCTTCGTTTTCTTTGCTGGAGGAGGTGAAAGGGACTCGCTCCTTTTTCATTCGGCCAAACGTGGCACATCGTTTCCAATGCCTCCCTCGTGTCAAAGACGCTGCCCTCTTCCTTAAGCGTGCAGGAGGGGGGGGAGGGGGAAGCTTCTAGGTAGGAGCTGGTCTGATGGCGGCTTTTCTTTCAGTATTTCATTTCACCACCGGCTTTTGCTCTGCCTGCCTCCTCCGTGTCCTTCCTATTGATCTCCTGTGTGTTTTTCCCACTAGAAATATGACAGGTCACGTGACTCTCAGACTCACGCTGTTTGCTGCCTGCTGTGGATGTGGGCTGAGTTTCAGGCATTACTGTTGCTGGTTGCCCAGACTCACAACCTGGTTGGCAGGCCAGCTGATCTCTCCGATCTCTTCCAGGGGTTCCCTGGATGGGTTGCCATGGACACTGTTCCCAGGGTAGACGTCTCTTTGCCGCACACGCAGCTTTGCAAAGGCCGGCCCTCCTTTCCCACGCGATCTTTCACATCCATCCAGCAGCATCTATTGTACTGTAGCCTAGTGGTTTCACCAGCCTTAGCAGCAAAAGCCAATCGAAGGCCCTTCCCACCCACATAGAAATCCTCAAGCTATTCAGAGACTTTGAGACATCTCGCCCCATCCCAAACAGACTTTGCAAACTAGAATCTCGTTTCTTTTAATCACAAAGAAATCATTCCTTTGTTGGTTTATGGTGGGAAAAATGCGTTCTTTTTTCCAACACCTTAGTTTCTTTGTCAGTTTTGGTTTTGCGGGAGCCTTAATGACAGGGCGAATCGCAGCGAGCTTTTCTTCTCCGACTTTTAATTGTTTCCTGCAAGATGAGCTGGATTGTTGCTCTTTAACAAGGAAGTGTTGTGTTTGCAATTCTGTGGAAGCTGAAAAAAAAGGGAGCGTTGGAAAGCTATTTGCAATGTATTTTATTAAAAGCATAAAGCCTTTTGTAAGCTGCAGCTCACTTCCTCGGATGCATAGAGTGGAGCACGACTGAGGGAAGGTTTATTTTGGCCAAAATTGGCTACATCCTCCATCAGTCTAATTCAGTGGTTCTCAACTGTGGAAACCTGAAGGGGTCTGGACTGGAGAATTCTGGGAGCTGAAGTCCAGACCTCTTCAAGTTGCCAAGGTTGAGAAACACATGCATAGTCTATACCAGGGGTAGGCAACCTTGGCTCTTTTATGACTCGTGGACTTCAACTTCCAGAATTCCTGAGCCAGCCATGCTGAGGGGAAAGGGAGAGGTTTCCAAGCTGAGCCATGCTGGCTCAGGATTTCTGGGAGTTGAAGTCCACAAGCAGGGGGGTCTTCAAACTTGGCCCTTTTATGACTCGTGGACTTCAACTCCCAGAATTCCTGAGCCACCCATGCTGAGGGGATGGAGAGGTTTCCAAGCTGAGCCATGCTGGCTCAGGATTTCTGGGAGTTGAAGTCCACGAGTCATAAAAGAGCCAAGGTTGCCTACCCCTGGTCTGTACCGTGTAGCTGAAAAACTGAACCATAGCTCATGAAATCTTATCCTTTTTAATAAAAATGTGTTAGTCAGAAAAGGTGCTTCTGCACTGTACACACAATTTTTGGCTATCCCAGCTCTCCAATAAAAGTGGCCAACCTGTTCAAGAATTTCAGTGGATTAGCTGGGGAATTCTGGGAGTTGAAATCCACCCAGCTTAAAGTTATTAAGGTTGAGAAACATTAACTCCGTTCTCATCTGGACAGCTGGCCGTTCTTGACTCAGGAGTCCTTTTGCTTTCCTTGCCTAGCCACCAAGAGCAGGAAGAAGGAATGATCCTGATCAAAGCAGAAGCAGGATGGTGGTCTGGATGGTTAAATCCTAGCTAGATAGGAAGCAAGACCCAGTGGTTGGGTTCATAACATGTGAACGGAAATGGGGAAAACCAGGGTGCAGTTCAAAGTGTTGTGGGAATGTAGAAATAGAATTTGTGTGATGGTTCCTGGATATTTCAGTGGAGCGGTATAACCAGAGTCCAGAGTCTAAACTCAGTTTTTCTGTCTCTGTTGGCCCAAAAAACTGGCCTCCTCAGTGTTAGTGAGAGCGGAGATACCAGATTCCATATCCTCCACAGTCAGCACTGATGATGTTATCTAGTTTGGTAATGAAACGTCTGCAAGGAAATGACCAAATTCAGAGAGCAAGGGCCACATATATCCCTATATTCTCCACA